TCAAAAGGCCAAATCCTTGTTCCTCTAGGTAAGATTTCAACAGCCGAAACCACACTCGTGGTGCCTGCTTTAAGCCATAGAGACTCTTTTTCAGGAAGCAAACCCAATCTTCCTTTCCTTCAATGACATAACCTGTGGGTTGCTCCATAAAGACCTCTACGTCAATGGCCCCATTGAGGAACGCAGTTGTCACATCCATCTGATGTGCCTCGTAATCCCATACTGCGGCAAGAGTCAACAGCGCTCGCAAAGTATCTAGCCGAACTACGGGTGAGTATACTTCTAAGTAGTCAATGCCGTAGATCTGCATAAATCCCTTGACAACGAGCCTAGCCTTGAAGCGCTCAATATCACCCTCTGATGTATACTTCACACGAAATATCCATCGATTCTTTAGCACCTTCATGCGCTTTTCTCGAGGTACTAGCACCCATGTGCAGTTCTCCATCAAGGCTCGATACTCTTCATCTGCAGCATCTTTCCATTGCACGGCATACTCGCTCAGTAGAGCATCGTCCAGTGTGTGTGGCTCAGTGATTATACTCACAGCGAGACAGCAGTAATCCTGCCACCATGCCAATGTCTTCTCTTTTGCCATTGCCTGCTGAAGTTCTTCTCGAGCTTTGGCCCATTCAACAGACCCAGAACACACTGCATCCTCGTCTGGATTTGTGTTCGAGTAGGCAATGTAGACGTAGTCGCTAATCCATGACGGTGGTTTGCTAACACGTCCGCTCCGTGTTACCGGGCAGACCTCTGTGTTTGCACCTTCCAAAGCTACAAACTCTCGCAATCCCCGTTTCTTTGAGGTTGTTACACCCGCCTTTGACGAGTTATCACGAGAACGTGACATCTCCGAATCTGTGGTCGTCATTCCACGCGACATCGGAGTAGAAGCCCACTCACGGGTTGGCAACTCATCGTTAACCATTGTGGTACTTTTCTCATTAACATGTTTCTGAGGTTGGACCTCTACAGCCGGTGCCTTGCACCGCCCACTGTGCCTTTTCTTCTTTGAGCAACGAGTTGGCATTGTGCCATGCTCATTGAACCCGCCTCTCAGGTGGGCAACTTGCAAATGCTCACTGTCTCCAGCGCCACGCGCTGCCGCTGTGCTTGAAGCACTTTGATTCATTTGCTTACAGGTCCGCTGTTTCTTTCGACGAGATTCATTGTGCGAGACATCAACACTTGATCGACCTCGCTTTATACTGCTTTGCACCTCGTCATGTACATCGCCACCTGAGCGTCCATCAGCTTGGGCCCTACCTGCTCGGGAGTCACTGACATGTGCATCATGTCCATTGGCTCCACCTTCATGATCATCACGGCAGTGTGGCTGTACATCACCCAAGTGCTGACGCTCTTCATCTTCGGCCCCACCAAGTGTGTCATTATTACCCGCTTCTAACATTGATGGGATGTTCTCCATAACATCACCATCAACATCTAAGTACTCTGTTGTGGACGCTTCAGGATGATTTTGGTCAGTAAAGACGCGTCCAGGCTTACTCTCGTAGAAGACAGCCGTGTGACTGTAAAACACTTTGTTTGTCTTGCTATCTAGCAAGCGGTAACCACGCTGTTCTCGACTGTAGCCAACGAAAATCGCTTTACGAGCTTTAGGTTCCATCTTTTTCCTCTCAACTTTGTCGACATAAGCCAGAACAGCACACCCGAACGTTCTCAACCGCGAGTATTCTGGTGTCTCTCGATGCCACACGGCAAACGGCACCTGCATACCTTTGGCGGCATTTGGTACA